ATTATACAATTTTTTATTGTATATAGTCGCATATGTACCATATAGCTATATCATTATGTTATTATTATTATATACTTCTTGTTTTGCAGCCACCGCATCATCATTACGGCGGTGTTACGGTAAAAATCATTACGGAACGGAATAATTTACTGTTATAAAAAGACGTGTAACCCAATTACAATATCATATACTGTATATGAACTATATGCGTTTTAATAATATGTAGATAGGTACAAACTTTGACGTCGCAATGATATGACGTGGTCGCGACGTGCAGCGAATAATGATCTGCCAAAAAAAAATTGTCGACAATGTGCACAATAATATCATTACACATTATCTAGATAGACCGTTCTTAATACAACTTAGTATAAGACAATTATAGGCAGTCGGTGGTAGTTGGTCCTGCAGATTAGGTCTGGTAATCGAGGTAAACGATATTATTGAGTATAATATATATTATTATACTTCGATCACTTGTGTTTAGAAATCGAAAATTCGTCTTCGACTGCAATTGTTTTAGGTGCATATCATGGATGATATAATGTATACATTACTCCAACAACGGAGCATGCTAGAGTTTCAATAAAATCGAGTAAAAAATCATCGATGTTTGCGCGTTGAAGGAAAAACAAACATTGTCGAGAATGTATATGTACCTACACATGTATATAGTATGTTTGTACACTAATCAAATTTGTACAAACAATTGTTTTCTCAGAACCGATACAAAAATATACCTGGCTGTATACATAAACTGTTTACTGATATACATTATAACACTTAAATGTTTTTTTAAGTAGCATCAGAGTTTAATTTAATAGTTGACAATATAGTGCATCGATTGTAATACAGCTTGAAACATGATATAGGTATATAATAGTATGTATATAGGTACAAGATGTTTTATTTTCAATAAATGTAACAGTTAAAATATATATACACTGTCGGTCAAATAGTCAAAAAATAATATTTTCGTTGACCAAAATGTAATTCTACTAAAATAAAAAATTTCTAATTTTTTTCTTCAAGTAATGACTGCAGTTAAAAAATGTATATTCCTTAGGATTCTCTGCAGTCTTCGTATAAAATGATATGTCTCACATGGTTTTTGCAACAATGTTTGAATCCAAGATGAGTTGCATTTATAGTTAAAAATTATTTGATCCGTCGTTTAATTATTCGATATACACTCGATAATATCTACTGGTGAATATAACCACTGGTTTAACTAAGTATTTACTAACTTTAGGGTCTTTGGGGCATGGGTTAATCTTAAAGTATAGTGTTAAAATTCTGCATAAGTTTTTTTTATACTCATCAAAACCTTTTTGGAGGGATCGATCAAAAATCATAAAAATATATAAGAACCATCCTATCAAATAGATGTAACCTAACATATTATTGACAGGTATTAGAAGGTACGAACGATCATAAAACTATGGTAGTAACTACTGTGTAATTAGTGTAAGTTGTAACTTGTAAGTACCTACCTACAATTGCACATATTTTTGGAAATTTCATTTTAGGCCACTTATTCAATGTGTAGGCAGTGTCGTCGGCAGAGGGGTGGAGGGGCAAACGGGCTGAAGCCCCTCCCCATAGCCCGTATTATTATTACTTAAAAAAAAAAAATATTTATCAAGTTTCAAAGTTTCAATTGTCAACTATAGTATAAGCAAGACGTAAATTTCATATACGTCTTACCAGAATAAATTCATCGAAGCTTATGATCAGAGCATTTTTTCTATCAGAAAAGTTGAAAAGTAACAAAAATTTTAAAATACCTCAAATAAACGTCTAAAAACATTAGACTGGACTAATTAAAAATTACCCATTTTTAAGCCCCCCCCCATTCAAAAATCCTGCGTACGCCACTGTGTGTAAGTACTAATACTGTCTATATATATTTATGCTATTTTAATGGTAAATTTCGTTGCAGAAACACCCTGTATCTAATACGGTTATTTGATGATTGAATTGTACACAACTTTATCTACAACGACAAACAAACAATATCATAAATTATTGGAATCTTGGATTAGGTGAGCACTTTCAGAAATAAAGCGAAGCTAGTAAAATGTCAAAAACAATCATTTGTAAATAATATGGGCGAAAAAAAATAACAGATAACCACAATAATTATTATTTGAACACGAATGTGAAGTAGACAAATTATTTAAAATACAGATAAAAAATTACATATTGCATATTATCTTCCCACTCTATACCTGTTTAAACATTAAGTAATAGCAATCAGTATTTACACTGTTTTTTAGGTTTTGAATTAGCGGAAGGACATTTCAATTAATATATACAAATATAATATTGTGTTTTTCTGGATTATGATTTATGATATAACAATAGAGTTATAAAAATAATAAATACAAATCCGGAAATTATTTAGTTGAGATCAGGTATTGGGTTAGTGCATGTCTGTGCTGTGATATTGATCATTTGAAAGAAATAGCAAATCCTTAATTTTTCATTAAGGCTATAGATGAACTATTGAAAATGATCTATTCAATGCATCATTTTTTACTTAATTTTCATATATTATAATGAAATGGTTCTTTTTATCATTCTAATAATCGATGAACATACTGAACGTTATAATATTAACATTAAAAATGTAATTTCAAACACAAACAATTCTATGAGTACGTATACTTATTCACGTATAGCGAAAAAGTTAGTCACGTTTAAATTTGTTAGTTTTTATATTTTTATTTTACATAATACATAATACTATTATTATAAGGTAGTTTTTCAAAATAAATAATCAATGTTGTAAATACCTATGTATATGCATTTAATAATGTAATTAATATCGAATTTTTATTGCAAATGTAATAAACCATAGTCAAGTAGTTTGAAAATTTTACCATTGACACTTTTACCTAGTTTTGAATTTGCCGTGACATAACACTTGTGGCCTCAGGGTTGCGATAAACTGAATTTTTATCGTAATTTTCATATAACATACAAAATTTAACGTAAAATTACTTGTATCGTCCACTTATCATGATATATTGTATCCAATATTTATACAATATTATGAATTAAAACTAGAATAAATTATTTGGTAATATATCTGGTAATATTACAATATATCCACGGATTTTCGTAAAACTTTTCAAATAAATATAATAATATTATGATTTACCGTATTACTAACATCACAATTATAATATATTTATATTCAACCTAATGTACCTATACATACATTGTTGTAGACTCTATACAATGTAGAGTTTAATTTAACTAGATGCTTATAATAAGTTACACTATCGCTATTAGTATAATGGATATATAGGTTGAAAATCCTCTTCTCTCTCGACGAGTTGCCTGACTGAAAGGTTTGTACTATTATACATAAGTAATATAGACAATGTAATTTTATCAATTATTTGGTTCACTTATAAAATTATTGTATGCCTATTTGTATACTAACATGATTAAATAAATACAACAAAACACATATTCGTTATAGATATTTAATAATAATTATGATAGTAGCTACTTCATATTGGTTATTGATTTTAGGAATTATATTTTAAAATTTCATACTCGTCTTATCACTAATTTTATTTTCATATAAATAATGAATATTTGTAATATAAGTGTTATTTTTCATTTTGTATTTGGTATATTTTAGTTTCTTGAGCATATTAATGCATTATACTAAAGTTGCTTTATTAATTGGCTCTGGTCTTTGACCGAAATTAAAATAATTATCGACTGGCACTTTTTGATACAATTTTAGGACATATTCTATTCTTTGTAAGTACTTAAATTAATACCAAATTCCAATTTTATTCCACATTGGATAATTTCAAACAAACAAAAGCTTGCTTCACTAATATAACGGTATACTAATATTATATTAAGAGGCTACAGAGATAAAGTAATAAGTTTTTTTTTTAAAAATCGGTAAAGTAACAAGTAATAACTATGAGTATGTGTACATTATTATTAATCATTTTTTTTTAAATCTATGTCTATTCACTCTTGGTGTTTCACTGTTTCCCATTTCAGTGCCCGAAACAAGAATTTATTGCGGTAGTTATGGAATCTAATTTATGAACTATACAATATTTCTTGTCAAAATTGATTTATATACCTAGTTTCATTGAACTTTTATATAAAAAAATAAATTGTAAAAATTAAAGGAGCATATTATATTATATATTTTAGTTTTTTCCTTATAATTTATTTAACAATATGATAGGTACCTAATGTTTAATAATTTTCATTTGATTAACTGTTATGTTAATCATTAACTAAAAATATTATCTATATGTCAGTTATAAGACATAGGAAAGCAAAAAATAATTAAATTTATAAAACACAAGTCATTGTGGGTGTTTTAATTTCTGTATACCTGTTCTAGTTAAATAATTTATGATCACAGAAACTTGAAACTTTTAAGAAAATACAATTTAATATTTTATAATTGTTTTTGTTTATAAATGAGAAATTGTAAAATTTAATTTACAATTTTAAAATGTTGATATATTATCATCCAAGTTTCATTTTAATTTAATTTTAAAACTGTTGTAATAATAAGTATTCTGTAATTTATAATATCTTATACTCATAACTATAAGTAATTAGATTTTAAATATTTTACACAGATTTATTTATTAATAAAAAATAATTGCAATATTCATGCAAATATATACAATAAGTATGTAAGTATGTAATAGTGTTAACTTTGTTACAAGTCGTGATACATTATTGAAGGTTAGTAGAAGGTGTTACCTATTACAGATTCAAACACACCTTACATAAATTATTGACAATATCGTAACAAACAAAATCGTATAAAAAATAAAATACATTCCTGATCTCATACAACTCTTAATAATAGCAATTTTAAGAACCATTTCCAATAACTGTAATATTCCAAAAAAATATCATATAATTTATATGCATTTGTGTGGATTTTGGAGTTGAAAAATGATCCAATATCGTAATGTATTTACTGTTTTAGATCAATGTTACACAAAATGACAAAACTATATTCTTGCTGGTTAATATTATCTGTGGCATTAACGTCCGTCACCTATGGAGAAGAAGAAATACTTTTTCCAGTAACACAGCCGAAAGACGATTGGTGGTCAAACACAATAATATATCAAGTATATCCAAGATCATTCAAAGACAGCGACAATGACGGAATTGGTGATTTAAAAGGTATACCTACACTATAATTTATTGTTAGTAATATAAGCACTATTGGAGATTCTAAAATATAAAAATGATCAAACATTATCATAATATGTTAAATGCATCATTAAGGAATTACTGAAGAACTGGATCACTTTGTCGATCTTGGTATAGAAATTGTATGGATAAATCCAATATTTAAATCACCCATGTATGACATGGGCTATGATGTAGAAAACTATACGATGATTGATCCTATATTTGGTAGTATGACAGATTTCGAAGAACTGATATCGGAAATGAACAAGCGAGGTACCTATTTTAATATAAAAATACTAAATAGACTCATAATATTGTAATGAAAATAACTATTTTTATTTTTAGGTTTAAAACTTATAATAGATTTGGTACCAAATCATTCGAGTAGTCGGTGTGAATGGTTTTTAAAGTCGATTAAAAAAGAAGATAAATACGATGAATATTATGTATGGCGTAACGCCTCAAATCAAGACCAACTCAGTAATTTAACAATCACACCAAAACCGCCAAATAATTGGGTAAATAAAGATGTACTTATTATATGGGCCATTTAGTTGGATGAAATGGATGGTATATAAACCATAACTTATTCAAATAATTGTATTAATTTTTATATACATAACGAATGGATTAGTGGGCTATATAGGTACATTACATATACAGGACATTCAATTAATCATATTCACGAATGCTTCCAATAATATTAAATTTACCTAAAATTTTCATTGACAGTTTTAAAAAATATTCTGCTTCAAGTTTGATGAAATTAATAATAATAAGTATAAGCCTACCTATGGTTTCATTTTAAAAAACAATTATGGTAGGTAGTAATTTTTCCAACAAACAAGAATAACATAAAATATTGAAACTGACGCATTTGTCTTAAATTGAAAAAAAAAGTTAATAGTTTTCTAAATAATGGTTATTTGTGTTTAAAATCATTTTATAATAATAAATTTAAAAAAATTGTATGCAACGATTTATTAGTAGGTACTAATAAGCTATACCTAATGGCTAATACTTTAAGGAAATCAGTGTACCTATAATAATTATTCCTAAGTATTAACCTATATAATATAACAATAATAGTTAAGCAAATATGGAGGCTCCGCGTGGACATGGAATACTGAACGAAAACAATTCTATTTGCATAAATTTAGTGATAAACAGCCGGATTTAAACTTTAGGAATCCGGAAGTTCATAAAGAAATATTGGTAAGTGTTCGATTTAATTATTTTAATCTATAGGTCATCATATTTTTATTTGTATCAATTCAAAGAATATTATGGAATTTTGGATGGACAAAGGCGTAGCTGGTTTCCGATTTAACGCTGTCGGTAGATTATACGAGGACAAAGATTTTCGAGATGAACCAAAATCGGTTGGCCGAGAAAATTGGCCTATTTATTATTCTTTGGATCACATATACACACATGATCAACCTGAAGTTATCGATACGGTTATTGAATGGAGAAAATTCATGGACGATTATTCGAAAAGGAAGAATACATTTCCTAGGTAAATTGTTACATAAGTTATACGTAATATTATATTAATAGATTAATGCTACAATATTATTAGTATAAAAACCCTTAGTAAATAATAAAACAAATTTAATATGTATCAATGTAATCATAAGTAGATAATATGATTGTTTAAATTTTAGGTGTATAAAAATAACTAAATGAGTTAATATTTATTGTTTGTTACATATTATACATTTATACTTGTAAACTACCTATGTGCAGGCTGTTAGCTGCAGAAGCACATCACCACGTCTGTGTGTTTTCATTGAGATATTATTTCGGAGATGAAAATAATCTTGGCGCTCAAATCCCATTTAATTATCATTTACTGATTCAAGTTCGCAAAGAAGATTTAGTAGATTCAGTGGATAGAGCAATTAAATTCTGGTTTGAAGTGATACCGGCGAATAACACACCAAACTGGGTGGTAAGAAATTTTTATATTTATTGATTTAAAAAAATCTAATACGGAATAGGCCTCTAAAAGACTTAGATTAAATATTTAGGATTTGATTATACTTTCATTAGTATTTGTATTAAATGTAAACAGTAAAAATCATTAAAAACAGGTTCGACGATTATTCTATTGATTTTTTTTTTAAATAATATTTTTTTAGATGGAAACCCTAGACACCGATAGGATATCATCGACATACGGCCCGGAAATGGTTCAAGTATTTACCGCACTAAAAATGTCACTTCCCGGTATTGATGTGACGTATTATGGGAGTGAAATAGGCATGGAAAATGTATATGTGAGACCTGACCAAATTCAAGATTCATATGATTCTGGTGGTCAGAGGAATATAGAAAGCAGAGATTTCGCAAGGAGTCCTATGCAATGGAATGGTAGATCCAACGCAGGTATATAATAGCCATATGATTTGCGTTGTACGAAAGTTCATTAGATCTAATAATATATGAAAAAAATAATCAAACCCAGGAAACCTCGTATCTATTATGATACCTATATAGGTACGTATAGGAATACGATGCGAAACAATAAGGTAACAAATCGGTCAAAAATATAACTATACTCGATTTACATAATATAATGTGTATTGCAATCTTTGACTTTGCGAAAAATATTTAATCAAATACGTCTTTTCAATAAAAGAAATGTCGACTACTTAATTATTACATTATTAATTAAAAAATATATATATAATCCAAGCATTCCAAGCAGCTATAAACAGTCATACAAAATTGAAAATTTCCGACAATTAAATCAATTGGTTTTTGCAAAAATATTATCTCAATAAATTGAGTTCTATGATATTTATAAAAACATTAAAAAGATGACATTTTAATTATGGTTGAGTAATTTGTTGTAAAAGTTATTATAATGGTTTTGTAATATTAAATGGAAATAGATACAATCACGTTTAAAACTGAAAACGAAAAGTTAGATTAAAATGCAATAATAAATACACTTTTTTCTAAAAATTCATTCAAAAATTTGTTAATAATTCAATAATGTTTGCAGATCTTAGTTTATAAGACTTGTGAATTAATTTGATAATAACACTTCAATTTTTGAATGTCTTTAAGGATTTACGGAAGCGAAAAAGTCGTGGTTACCTGTAAATCCAAATTATTACAAAATAAACGTCGAAGAACAGAAAAAAATACCTACCAGCAATTACAATTTTTACAAAAAAATGTCTCAACTTCGAAGAACTGATACTTTGAAATATGGCGACCTCGAATCGTACAATATAACTGATTCGATATACATACTCAAAAGGTAATTCGTGTCAAATGAAAATATAATCCCATCGGAGTAATTTTAACTATTCTCAAACTGTGAAACTTTATTGTGGTTCTTTAGATCGTTGCCCGGACACGAAACGTATCTGGTCGTAATGAACTTTGGAAGTGAAACCGAGACGGTCGTCTTATCTACGGTTATAAGCCGCCTAAAAAAAAAATTGCACGTCTATTTAGGCAGCGAAAATTCAGGATATAGCCGAAGGTATTTGTTTTAATGTGCTGGTTATGCATATTACCTAATCTGTAATATTTAACTATACGTTTCATTCAAAATAATATTGTTTAAACAAAGTCAATACACGCATTTTGTTACGATAAACAATTATGTAATATTGCCTATTGGATCTTATTTGATTTATTTCAGTGATACCGTTTCGACAATTTCCATAGTCGACAAACCTTTGCACCTTCGACCACAATCGGTAGTCGTGTTGACCGACAGTTTAGTAAAAGTCGATGGGTTCAAAAATAATGCTTTCAGTTACAGACAATATACAGCTTCATACATTTGTCTTCTGTGTGTCTTACTACTGACAGGATATTATGTTGGATTGCGTAATTAGTCGAATTCATTAATGACTTGAACAACAAAATTCATTTTATTTTTATTTTTCAATTATATTTGTAAAAATAAATGTTATCTGCTGACTAACCATTTACACAACGTTTATATTTGTTTCGATGTGATTATATTTTCAAAAATTCAAAAATTCTGGCGTGCTAGTATCATTGAGTTAAATAATGTAATTATGTGTTATCAAGTCAATACCTATACGCACTCGTATTCAGTGAAATAATAGGTTAGGTCAAACTCGTCTTAGGTGGGTAGGATATATTATATTAGTTATAGGTTGCTATATTATATTAGCCATCGGGTATTTAGTATTACAAATAATAACACATATACTTTATAGTCTATGAATAATTTGACAATTTTTCTCAAGTAGGTATCTATTAAATAAAAAATGTAAGAATTGAAGATTATATAAGCTTTATTCTAAATTTCACTAAGAATATTTTCCTCCAAAAACTTAATTTTAGCATAATCACTACGTTTAAAAAGTGTTATAATATGTCAAATAAATTAAATTGAAACACTTATTAAATACTAAATTAATTGAAGTTTATACTCTAATAAAGATTAAAGTATTAAACTATAAAGTATTTTTATACCTATACATTAAAAATAACGTTTTGTAATTAAATCACTTTAATCTGGCATCTGCAAAATTAAACCTGGTTAGGTTTATTATTTATTACAATTTATTATACAAGTACACTGTTGTATGTAAGTACCCAGGTACTTAGAACATATACCAGGTAGAAGTAAGGAGAAAAAACGAGGGAAACAAATAAATAAATAAAGTAGAAGTACCAATTTAATATATTTTTATTTATTTAATTAATAAAATAAAGTAGTTAAATAAAAGAGGAGATGACTACAACAACGTTGTTTGATACTAAAAAAACTAACAATAATTCACTCCAAAAAACTTGATCAGAACGTTCTTGTTAGTGAATTGTTGTAAAAATATTATGGTAGTACATACTATGAACGCGTAAAAAAATATATGCTCAAAATAAATACTACCAAAATCCTTAAAAAGAATCCATTTTACTCTGTTATTTTTAAAATTAGAGGTAATTTACCTATTGTAAAATGTAAAGGTATGATTATTCTCTAGGGCATCTCAAATTATAAGAGAATTGCAAAATTATCATAACATGCTTCAAAATTAAAATATCAATAAAATCTTCAATCAGATGCTCTATAGATAATGAATAATAATCTTACCTATAGTCGATTCCACTATAACTCTTAAAAAATCCTAGTAAAATGGATTATTGTAACCGTACAATTTACTACGTCGTACGTTTTTAAGATTGAGAAAAATTCGGGCGTATGTCGTCCTATTAATGCAAAATAATTATACGATAAATACATAGCTGTACGAACAAGGGATATAATGATATAATGTAATATTACAATTTTTTTTAAATGATACTTTTGTATCATTATTTAACGTAGGTATAGGTAAGTATACAAATATATAAAATACTTTTGAACTTAAAAATAGTAATTACCCACAAATACAATTTTAATTATGTATAGATACGTCCATTTACGTACAACATATATTAGTTGTTATGTATTTGAAAAAAATGTTTTAAAAAACATAAATGTCTTATTTTAATATTAGATATTGAGCTATAATAGTGTAAACTGAAAGCTAATAAAAAAAATAAAAAAAACTATTAGATAATGTTTGTGAATAGATACCTACACATAAATATTTATTATATAATAATATACCATAAATGTTATTAGTTTGATTATAACAATTATATACTAATAATAGGTAGGTTTATTATTAACTACAATTTTTGTTCATGTATATTTAGTTGAATCTTTTCAACAATTTACAACTGAATTTACATATATGTACTAGTTCAAATTATCATTATTAATATATAATATCATTATCGTCATCAATAAAATTTGATGTATTGGCATATAATAATAAATTATTTCCGCTAACTAAATTAGACTAAAAAAAAAAAAATTGGTTTGAAAACTCGCTGTAGATAATCGTGATTTAAATGTTGGTTGAATTGTTAAGGTACAAATACTGTATAGTTAGTTAAGTTAAAGTTTTAGTTAGTTTTTATATTGTTTGATAGGTATAACGGATCCTCATTATCTTCACGTTAGGTACACTATTGGTATTAGACTGTTTAGTATTCGAACGTTATGTAAACCTATACTTGTTGAAAATCAGTGTTCAACATATTATGTTTTCTTAATCCGTCAAGTAGTTAGATTTGTTTATTTAATATGAAACGGCTTGCGGAACAAGTCTGCGACTATATTATATCTTTACCGATTCGATGCGCAAATCTCAAGGACGTGACAAAATATCCGTGCGATTCATATACGTGCCTATAGTATGCATTCAGTTTTCACAGTCACTAAATTTCATTTTTATAATTAATTTAAAAAAAAAAATCCAATATTATGGGATTGTACAGATGATTTTCTTTGAAATTTAATTCCTTCAATATTTCAAATAATTAATGTAGACTTATAACTATTATGTATTATCTAGAGACGACACCTCTAGAATACAAGTAGAGGCAGCTACCGAATAGACGTACGAAATAATACAGGAGTTTTCGGTCGAGTGGTTTGCGAATGTTCTTCGAAACTAATCCGTACAGTTGATAATAATGAATTTTATTTCGATCCGAAGAATAGGATCAAAATAATAATAACAATAATTACAGCAATTTCATTATCGCAGACGATGAAACTTTTTTTTTATAACGAATTTTAATTTTAAATTAAGAGAATTGCTCAATAAAACGACATATTGAGTGTGCGTGTGCGTATATATGTGCAATAAACAGATGTGAGTGAACTGTGACGATATTAAATTAATTTTTAACACCCATCGCAGTGTTTTTAATGAAAGGTAAAGACGTAATGTAATAATAGCATAATAAAATATATAAAATCGTTTTGGATACTCCATTGTTGTTTTATTCTATAGGTTAATTTAACTGCACAGTATTGAGTTTTTTTTTCCAAATGGGTCACGGACAAGAATTTAGAGATGCGATAGGGGCGATAACAAGTTTCCATTTGACACATGTCTCGTCGGTATATTATATTATTATAATGTATACGAATTACGAAAAATTATTATTTTCAATACACAATCATACCGTATACAATAATTGTTTAGTTTTAGTATTGTAAAATTTTTTTGATCGAATAATAATTACAATTCGACATTGTGTAGGATGGTCTATTTATTTTAACCGCTATTAGTACCAATATACCACGATAAAATAATAATACGCGTTTATGTTGTATCATTATTCATTGGTTTATATATTTTTTTTTTTAATTAAAACCGTTTTGTCAGGAATGGAGAGAAGTAGTTCAGGACCGTGAAAAATGGAGAGATATTGTGATGGCGGCCAAAACTCTTAGAGAGTACTAAGTGCCAGAGAAAGAAGAAGGAGAAGAAGAAGAAAACCGTTTTGTACCATAAAATCTTCTTGGTGGTATATGAAAAGCTAATAATATCAAATCACTGTCGATACGCTTTTAATGTGCGAAGAAATTATAATCGGCTTCACAATATTATCTCGTCAACCTCCTGTTTAAAGTCACGAATGAAGAAGTTTGTGCAATGTGCACCATCGAACACCATAAAATGATCATAAAGGTATTGACCATAGAACTTACAGTATACAGGGTGGTTCAAAATAATGGTTTTGTATAAAAAATAAAATATAATATTATAGCCAATATATTTTATTATATTCAAAAAATATTTTTAAATTATGAAATGTTATCATATTATTATTAAATATGTTACTTACATATTACTTTTAAATTTGGCTAAGTACTTTATACACATTATATTGATTATTATCATCTTACCATTTACCGTCAGGTGTTAATTACACAAATAAGTAAATATCTTAATTACTATAATAGCCAATAGGTATAACTTAAACAAATCATCATAGCCCATATTAGCCCCCATAATAATTATACTAGGTTTAAATGTAGGTATTATAATATATTACCTATCACCATGATAGTTATATAAATTCATAAAGTTTAATAATTCAGAAATTACTAATTCGATTTGCATACATCAGTATTTAAAATAAAATCATAGGTTGAACAAATTACAGTAAAAAAAAAAAAAATGTATTTCTCATTTGAAAAAAATATGTTTGTATCACCGCAGGAAAGGCATTACATATTTGTAAGTATTTGGAAATATGATCTCAGAGTGGGCTTACTCCTAAAATCATAATAATTTGAATAAATGTATTACCTATAATAGGCATTAAAGGATGAAATGATGAGGATAAGCATGCCTGACGAATCACCCTGTATACGATATCTGTATAGCTTGATCGTCGATCGAACTTCTCAAATCGAAAACCCACACCGAGGCGATATTATAGTGAAAAGCTATTATAATAGTTTTAAAAACACCCTTTTTTTTTTACACAAGAAATACATGAGGTCATAATTGCATGGACCGCGGGCTGTGCACTGCAGTAGGTACAATGCGTAATACGTCGGTCGTTATTAATGGCCCAAAAAAATGTCACTACAAAATAATATGCAGTAGCCGATTATTCGAAATGCAATCAGGAAAGTTTCCTGTGGACTAGGAATGGTAATAATATCATATCCGTACGACGTCTTACGATGGTAATACTATTAAGTTATATTTTAATATTTCGTTCGTCTCATCGCACTTCGTCAGCTGCCGACGAGGGACATATAATAATGCAATATCTCAGCTGTGCACGCGTTCGTGTGTCGGGCTCGGCGGCGGCGTAAGCCGATTTAGGAGTGTCCGAAGGTATTTTCACATATAATAGTAACAATAGAGGTTATGTTATTATGATATTATTGTTGTTTAATAATTATCGCGGAACCCAAATTGTTTGACCCCGTTTTCTATGTCTTTATTTTTATTTTTGTTTTTGTTTTTTTTTTTATCTTTTGTTGCATTGTGCGGCGGCT